CATCATTTGAACTAAAATAAAAACGGAAATTAGACTTTAGTTGTTTAAGAATTTCAAGTTTACGATTTATGCTTTTATAATTGAGAAAAATATGATATATCCAAGTTTTATTCTATGTTGAAAAAAATGTTGTTTTTTTGATATATTACTAGCGTGAAAGAATATAGGTTATTGAATCAAATAGTATGAAAAGTTTTTCTCAATCAATGAGAAATTTGTTCAATGAGTACGTATCATCAAGAGAAGAAAAAAAATTCAAATACCATTTTATATTGACATTTTCACTCAAGGATGTTGTTGAGTAAATGATTGTTTAATATGTGATTAATAGTGTAACACAATTAAAAAATTTGATACAAATATGACAAGTTTGTCAAAAGCAATAATTGAAATATCATGTTATTGTTCATAATCAAACATGACAATATATATATATATATATATATGATATATTGATATATATACAATATATCAACCAAAATTATATACAAAGAAAAAATTAGAGTGGATCAATAGGTCTCTTATAATATATAAATTATGGATTGATTCATTTTTTAATATAATGATATTGATGTTGAGAATGCTAATGTCAATGTGTTGATCTTTGATAAAAAAAAATATGTTTTTTTTTGAAATTAGAACATCCAATAATAAACTTGAGTGAAATATTGATATGAAGCATGAAATGCAATCTATAATGAATAACAAGACATGAAAGTTAGTGAAATTTCAAAGTAATCAATCTTTGATTGATAGCAAGTTGACATATAATCAAATGATGATAACAAATATAATTTTCAAAGCTAAATTGATGTCTAGAGATTTTAAACAACAAGAGTTGTGGATTATAATAAGGTTCTGTCACCTTGAGCAAAAAATGTCGCAATCTGACTGGTGTGGATTGTGATGCGATATTTATTATGATTATGAATCAAATAAAAGTAATCATAGCATATATTTATGAATTTCCAAATGAAAAACTTTTCATAAAAAAAGTTTGGAAAAAAAGTTAAAGTAAAGTTGGTTCTTAAATTTAAAAAATCATTATATACATTTAAACAAGCTCCTATGCTATACAATGAGATATTTGATGAAAGTTTCAAAAAATGTGAATTATTCATGCGTATACATGAAGAAGTTAATGATTAGATCCTTAATTTCATTAATCTAATATTCATTGTGAAAGACATGTTCATTTTGGCAAAGAATCAATATGATATTGATACATGCAATAAGTAAATGAATTTGCATTTAAGATGAACAATTTAAGTACATTAAACAAAATATTAAAGATTATATTCATAAATATTTGAAAAAAAAATGTATGGTTGAATAAAGTCAAGTAAGTTCAACACGTAATTGACAAGTGTTCAGTATTTAAAAGATATAAAATTCTTTGATGACACACTTGAAACTTTCTTTAGCTCAATGGTCAATTAATACTATTGAGAAATAAAATATTTAATAAATTTTGTATTACAAAGTTGTGAATGGCCTCATGATATTTGATGGTATGAACAAGTCATGATTTTTGATGGTATGAACAAGACATGATATTGCTTTGGCTCATCATGGTTTAATATGTCAAATAAGTTCAAGTTGCATTGATAAGCAATGAAATTGATATTTATTGTTAGGTAATAAGTATAATAATATAGTGTAGGTAATAGATATTATAGGTAATGGGTATTCTTTGTATAATAAGAATCCAAAGAATGCTTAATATGATGATTTATTAAACACTTCTAAATTCTTAATAGAAATGTATTCTCAAATTTTTGAAAAAATAACTAAATAATCTGTTAAATTTTTTAATGATTCATTAAACAATATCAAATACTTGTTGGCCTATGCTGATGTTAATGAAGACAAAATTTATACTGGAAAGAAATCTACAAAAAGATCTGTTGTTAAAATTTAATATTGAATGCGTTTGTTGGATGTATATTTTGCAAAAGTGAGTAATTCATTTCACAATGGAATCTAAATACGTAACATTAAAAGAAGCATGAAACATGCAAATATTGCAAGAAATAAATATTATTATAAATTTTTTTTATTCATTAAATATATAAAAATGAAGTTTGTGAAAAAACTTAAAAATGTAAGATCATGATTTCAAACAAATGACAAACATCTTTGATATATGATGTTTCATAATATAACATGATATGTCTTATTAGTACTGTAATACATCGTGTACGTACATGAAACAAAAGTTTTAAAAATTTTATATACTATTAACAAATGTAGCTTGTTGTTTCACTGTATTATAGCAGTTATGGCCACAAAAAAAGTATTCTATATCAATTCATATTATTTTATTATAAAATATTATTTAAATATATGTTGACTACTTTTTATAAAATTCTTATTGCATATTTTAGTTTTTTTCTATCTCATAGATATCTAAATTGATACAAAAAAATATTTTTATATATTATTCGAATAAATCAAATATTTTATATAATAAAATTTGGAAAATTTTGTAGATGATTATAATTGGTATGTCACTAAGTTTATAAATAAATGATTATAAATTGGATTGATGAATAAAGAACAATTTGAAAATATTTGATACTGAATTGAAAGCTAGCTCGTTTTTTCTTTCAACCTGACTTTGTTCCAAATAAATTTCATTAAATTTTAATAAATGAAGTGAACTTATGGAAAGTTCACAAATAAAAATTTTATATGTTAAGATTATTTAAAATTGTTATTAGAAATTACATTTTGTGCATTGTTCAAATATTTATGACTGTTTATATTAATTTTTAAATGAGGTTTTGGAATTTGATTTATAATTTTTGAATGAAATTGATGAATAGACTACAAAATTAATGCCAACTATATTTTCATCCAAATTCATGTATGATTGTTATAGAATGTTTCAATTTATGCATGTTATGTTATAAAATGACAATCTGAACTAACACATGATATATATCAAAATAGAGATAACTAGAATATGATGTTTAAATTATTAAGATTAATGGATATAGAAAATTCAATAAGAAAAATAGGTTTTTGATTTTTGATTTAAAAAAAAAAATATGATTGATAATGACATTTTTTAATAATATTTTTTGTGTTTTTTGTTGATAAAAAAATAAACATAAATATTGTATGACTAGCTCATAAAGATCTGCAACCATTTGCAAAATGTATTAATTTTTTGCGGACGAGTAACGGATGTGTAAAAGGAGTGTAAGATTTTAAATAAGGTACTCCACTGTGATAAATTATAAAGAACTAAGTATTTGCAAAAAAACAAGGCAGTATCATCTATAAAGCACTATGTCCAAAACTATTTATTTTTTTTTTCCAAAGAAATAGTTATTTTGATTTCAATGGAATAATGTGGTCGTTACATGTAATTGATTGAATCAAATAAATATATTGTAAATGTAACCATTTTTTCCTAACATCCAAATTCTATAGATTATATAACTTGTTAATCTTGGCTTTTCATGATGTAATTAAATATTAGTTGTAATGTTTATAGTTGGTGTTGATACTAGTTCATGAATACGGTTGTCCAATGTTGATCATTGAGGTTTGTAATGATGTTGATTGAAAATATGATGTGCAATTTTGTTCAAAAATTGTTGGACTTATGTTTCAACTTATCAAATGTTAATTGCTATGTCATGTAAGTTATAAACATGAGTTGTTAACAATATATTATATATTTTAAGCAACAAGTTATTTGCATATAGTTTAGTAAGAAATAATGACATAATGACTTGCATAAAAATGTAGAACAATTACGTTATAGCATTCAATTTGTAAAACATTATTATTTAAAAAAATATTATTTTTATTTAGCGATATTTTTGATTATATAAATTTTGTATGACTTGAAACTATAATTTAGTAAATTTTTCAGATATCTTGACATACTGTTATTATTATGTAACATATAAATTTTAGGATGAAAACCCCCATTTTAAAAATGGGGGTTTTCATACTTCTATCTACAATAAATAGAACCAAATATTTATATGACATTTTATACATTAAAGCATAAGAATTCCAGATTCAAAATATAAAAATTGAATGCATTATTTAATAATACACATATTATTTTTATAAGCAGTATTAATGGTGAACATTACTTCATTTTAAGATTCACATATTTCAATTTCTACCATGATAAATAGTATTACATATTACTCAAAAATATATACAAACATGTATTTATTGTAAAAATTTTGAAATTTTATTATTATTAAACTACCAAAATATAAATTATATGAATAAAGGTTGTAAAATAATAGATGTGTAAAATATTATATCACAAAATTAGAGTTATGTTGTAACAGTAAAAAACCAAAATGATGCATTCGATTTTCTTAATAAAGATTTTGCTTGATGTGAATATCAGTATATAAAAACCAATAAATTGTAGAGCATTTCACAAGATTTAGACCGAAATGGTGGTTTTTTTTTGTTTTCTAGACATAGAAAAAATAAAATAAAAATGCTGATATTTTGTTTACGCAACTGCTTCTTCTAATGTTGATGTATATACATGTACAGTATTATTTTAGTATTTGAATGACGTATTTAAAAGAAAAACACAACTTTATGTGGCTTATATAGATTTCGCTATATTGTGTCATTTTGTTGTTTCTGGTAGCATTGTATAGCAAACGTATCATTATTATTCAATACCCAGGCATGTTACAGTTACCATTTCATTTTCTGAATGTTCAATGCAAGATGAGCTCGAGTTGAAAATGCTCTCTTTCTTCCTATCATTAAAGTCAATTTGATGAATAGATTGGGACACAATGTGCAGTCCACCATTTAATAAGAGAACTACGTACTGGATGTCATAGTATTAAAGCTCAAATCGATATTTCTCAGCTCTCTGATCGTAGCAACGCAAACATCGGGTAAGGAGGGAATATTGAAGTAAGCGAAATACAATTCGATGGCGTGAAGTGAGGATCGCTTGACTGACAGAAAGGCGCGCACGCGGAGGTCTGAAGAGAAGAAATAGAGTTCTGGAAAGAACCTTCGGACGGGGCGGATGAAGCGACCATCAGATCGAGCAACGTACCGGACAAAGAAAGTGGCCTATCAAATGGCTTCGTAACTGCTCCTTTGCTGTGCTGGAAGAAGAGCCCAGAGCAGAAGGGAAGAGAAGGGAGGAGAAGAGAAGAGCAGAGCACATCCTCTCCCTCTGTCTTCCATCCGTACTCCCTTCCTTCCTTCCTTCCTTCCTTCAGGGACTACTTTCGTCTGTGCATCCTCTGCCTTCTCTTCTCTCCTCTCCTCTCCTCTTCTCACGCACTCCCCTCCCGACCACGTCCGTCTCTCTCTCTCTCTCTCTCTGTGTCTCCGACTGTCCGTCTGTCCGTCCGTCCATTCACGAAATCGCGTCGTTCGTGCGCGTCTCCGTGCTCGCACATCGCCTCCCGATGCGTGCGAGTTACGCTACCGCACTGGCTTGCGCCGGTGACGAGCTTGGATCACACAATTTGCAGATCGCTGCGACAAATCGAATTTGCAAACTCTTGTGACATTTGGTTCACGGACGTCGTTGCTCGCCCTGTGAATTACACGCTCGCACGCCCGACTGCCCTGCTCCATCGGTCCCCGGTCGCTCTTGCGAAATTGGCGACTGCCTAAGCCGCAGCATTCTGTCGGTGCGGTGGATTGTTCGTCTATGGTCGTGCTTTTTTCCAGATTTTCGTCTTGCTCTGCCGCTGCGTCACAAGCTCTTTGAAGCTCGATATAGCAGTGGCTTCTATTCGTTCTCTGTGCCACGTCTTGCCGAGGCTGTTGTTCGATCCGCCCTCATTCCCTCTTTCCGTCCTTCCTGGCTGTCTGTGCTCTTGTTGTCAGGCCCGGAGACTGGGGTTTATACTCTCCTCTGCTGCCTTTGGAAATTGTTTCTCTGTAATTGCACAGCGCGCAGTAAGCTCCACCGATCGATTCCGGTCACTGAACTCTATGGTGTGTCTTGCGACCAACGATGGCCATCTTAATGTTGAGTGGACTTGGGCAGTTCTCTTGGTGTTCTCTGCTTCCTAATTGTACACCTGTTGGAAGGGAAGTGATGTAAGAAGTGGTTGGTGAGGATTGGGCTCCTCTGTATTGCTCTGCTGGCGTGGGAATGAGTTGCCACTCATGTTCCGTCGGGAGGACTATATTTGTTGATCGAGGGACTTCTGGATCAGCCTTATCCATCTGAACGGTATATGTATTTAATCACATGAGTGCAAAGTTCATACTGGGAGGCAGACGCTGGTTCCACGAGGTGTTGAGCCGATATCAGACTTTCCGTTGCCGACGCTGGGAGTGCGATCGGTCAGCTCAAGTTGCTCTCCAACACGTTGACGATTCTGTTGCATTCTATCGGCGTGCGTCTTGATGTGGCACTTATGGACTCTCTGCCGAAACCTACTCATATGTGAAGCTGGACATTGGCAGAGGATATGTGCCAAGTTGAAGGCCATTATTTAGCTTCCACAAACTTGACATTGCCCTGCACGAGGCATCCTTACGACATCAGCCGGTAGGGAACAGCTCGTGAAGAGGAATTGATCGCACCATTCAGAGTTCATACTAAACTTGCTTGTTGAGCAGGCCACAGGGACATGGCCTTGTAGTACGGCTCCCTCATTTCCCGAGCGTGTCTTCTGCCTGACACCAGAAGAGGCGAGAAGCAAGCGAAAGATGGGTGATTTGCCTGTCGCGTCTATCCTTTGAGGGGATTGCAACCGTTGAATGAAACGAGAACTTTCTTCCGAGAGTAAGAAAGAAGGAAAGCAGATTTCTCCCGAATCGCGAAACATTTCTTCGCGTGGTAACATCGACCAACCTTCCTGCACGACACGATGCTTCGCACCTAAGACTGCCAGAGTAGGTGCTGGTGCTAAATGCCACAACAACGCATCAGTAACCTGTGAACCAACGAATCTGTTGGCACATGAATGGGATGACGCGCCTTTGTAGTCCCAATCGTTCTGTCCTTATGTCCAGAAGGATGTGAATTCGAGCACTACCCGATGCCACACCGTTACAACGAGTATAGGTGGGATGGACATGCGGAGCAAAAAGACCTCTCGTCTCCTCGAAACGTATTGCTGGCAAGTGCATCTGTGAAGTGTTACGGTTAAGACGCCAGGTGCACTTCTATCTCTACATTGGAGATGCTAGCGAAAAGTCTAGTATGTGCATTTACCACAATCCTGATTCGATTGACGAAGTCAATCGAATCAGGATTAAAGCCATCAATAACGTAAGAGCTGCCTGGTTTTCTTGTACCGGCGGATCTCACGACCGGAAATCGATCTTCACACTAACCTTTTGTTTTTGAACTGCAGATCTCAATTAGCAGAGCTTGTACTTTGGGAGAAAGGTTACTGGATAGACTTTCATCTGACAACCTCTTAGTTCGAAGAACAGCGGAGTGGCTGGTCTCAGATAAAAAATGAAAACGATTCAAAACGGAGATGAAGTTCTACGGAAGGGCCCATGGATGCCCGAAGAAGACGAAATCCTGGTGGAGTATGTGCGACAATTTGGTGCACGAGACTGGAGTTCCATTCGTTCCAAAGGCTTGTTGCCTCGTACGGGAAAATCTTGCCGTCTGCGATGGGTCAACAAACTCAAGCCGGATCTCAAGAGGTATTAACTTGCTGCTTTGACCCATACCAATATATGTCGATAGAGTATCTACTTCTGATCTTTCAGCCGGCCAGCCCCTTCCGGAATACGTAGCGAGTAGGTTTGCAACGAGTTAGTTACCTGCTATCTTCCAAGACTGCCTTCCTGATGTTGTTATTGGATCTAATAGTGTCGTTTGGCCCTGCTTTGACGTAGATGATTTTGACGTAGATGATTCGATGTTTTGTTCCTCACACTGCTCCAACTCGTGTGGCGAACTAGATCAGACATTGGAATTCACGCGGTTACGTATCCTATCGTTGTGCAGAAGTGGGTGTAAATTTTCCCCCGAGGAAGAGAAATTGGTAGTGGAGATGCAGGCGAAGCTTGGTAACAAGTGGGCAAAAATTGCTTCATGTCTTCCTGGACGTACCGACAACGATGTGAAAAATTTCTGGAGCACCCGGCAGAAACGCATATTGCGCGCACTGCAGCGTCCTAAAATGCCTTCAGGCAGCACAGATGCAGCTGCTGACACATCCGACCTCCGTAAAGACCCTTCCATTACAGACTATGGAGCTTTTCAGGTGCACCTTGTGTCTTCGCCGTTCTCCACTCAGACACCTAAGGTGCAGCATAATAGACGAATTCATTTCCAAATTCTTGCGAGATGTCAGTTTGTTGAAGGCCTTCTTCCTGCTCAACGCACTCGTTACATACACAACAAACAAACACCACTTAAAACCTCGTCCTTTGTTCTCTATTCCTCAGCACGCCTACCCACCATAAACAAGCGAGTACTGTAATCCAGAGCACGATCCCAACGCAGAAAGTTCCCATCAGCTCTCTCCTGCAGCATAAGCTCCAGGAGGAAGAAAGGAACGAACTAAACAACGTTGTGACTCAGATAATTGCAATCATCAATCAAACTATCAGAAGCAGGAATAGACTGAATATGTTAACTGCTCAGAGCTGACTTGAAAGTGCACAATGACTTCTTGGCGGAGATAAAGTTTAAACTTGATCCGGTAAGGGCTCATCTCCTAAGGGCAAGAATACAAGTCCATTGAGTTGGTGTCGTATCCCTTGTAGTTATATTAAGTTTGTTACTTTCTGAGGGGTTGCAGGTGCATAGTCCTTCTGGCACAGGATTAGTGCCGTCGGGCTTTGTCACACCCTTCATGTTTGAAGATGACAATACCTTCAGGGAGCCCCCAGGTCATTTGCGCCTGCGACATTCCGTCCAGCCATTCAATTCTCTGGAGGTAGACGATGTTTTGAGCCTGAAGCTTCAGGACATGGTGGCCGGTGACTCTCATTTCACAGATTCCGATTTCAGCCAGTGTGGAAGGGTCTTGGATGATCCGAGACACGGCTCTGTCATGTATCAGCATTCTCCCAGGATGATGATCACGCCTAGAAATGCTCGATCCGTCAAGCGTAGACCGAGGTCCAGGAGAGACGCAAGATCTTGTTTTGAGCATCATTCTGGAACTGATGGAGGACAAGACTCTGTCCAAATGCTGCCAGAGATTGGGCTCCCTTTGATTCAAGGCAACTCGAGGGACTTCGGGGTTCCTCTGTCGACGGAGCAACAAAACAACAACTACCTTGACTTTCTGCTACAGACAGAAGCATCCTCGATGCACAGCAGTCAGATGTTCAGCCCTGAACTTCCCAGCTTCCTGACCAACAGCCAACAATGGGAGAAACTTCCCATGCTTTACTCCAACGACCCCAGCATTCAAGAACCTGATGTCAAGGACTCTGACTCTTGTAGCCCGGATAGCGTCATCTCGGGCTTTGCAGCAGATGTGTTTGACTCCCTCGAGCCCCTCTGTCCGGCAGCTCCTGAGTGGTGGGTTGCCCGACTGAGTTAATAGGACGAGGATACTAGCGAAAAGGAGGAGGTTGACAGAATTCCTTTCGATGATGCGTTGGAATTTCTACAGTCCTTAAGGTCAGTATCTGTCACATAAAAAAGCCGCAAAGTTGTGGTGGTAAAGGTTGATTCTTAGATTCTTCCACCTGTATGCAAGACTTTTTGTTTTCTTCCGTCTGCATTATTCGGTCGGAGACACGGGATCAGCTTCTTAGAGAAGAAGTGAGAAGAATTATGGAAGAAGACCGGGAAGGGTGATCTTGCCAACGTGTACCATTAAAAAGTAGAGATGAAATAATCCAGGTCATTGAGAACCTTTTTATATCACAGTAGAAGCTTTGTTCCTACAGCACTTGCAACAAGATAAGACACAAGGATAAGAGCTTCGTCAGACTGTTAAGGGACCAGCTATTACTTGTGATGTAATTACTATATTAGTGTATTCAAAGTTTTGCGCCCGAGAAACTAAAAACTATCCAAACGATTGCGAATCGCTTCATGGCATGTATGCAAATCGATAATCCTCCACTGTCTGGTTTATTTTCGTATCAACGAGTCCCTAGTGTCGCCATATTGTCGTCAGGCGTTATAAGCATATTTACTTAAGCTGTAAGCTCCCTGTAAGCTGCGTAAATGAAACTTAGCATGTTGGCTTGGATAAATTGGGTATTGAGACAGACTGTATCGTCAGTATGTTTCGCTAGGATTCCACTAGTCATGTTGTTACAGCCAACTAGTGTTTTTCGTCATACACAAGAAGTATGTTGGGACTTAAGTAATTTTGACTCTCGACTCTACAAACAAACAATTATCTTTACACCACGGTCACTGCATTAGAGATACAATTCAGCTTTAAAAATACGCTTTTTTATAAGTAGGGTACAATATCCGTCAGATTGAGCCGCCTTATACAAGAAAATGGATGACTGCAGTAAAAACAATGGCCGGCATAAGCAAGTACTACTGCATTCAGTACTCGTAGAAACTCGGGTTCGTTGATGCAAATAGACATATAAGCGTTCACCACTAACATGAATGTACGTGCCTCCACTTGGTATCCATTTGGCCAGAAGTAATCTCTCCCAATTAGAGAGATCAGAGTGACAACATCTACGGAACATAGACAAAACCGCTGACAGAAAGACCTCAGTCACAGCTGTGGCTTAGCAGTATTACTGCTTTGATTCTTTCTACTACTACCTTCGACGTCATACGATTCTCTACGAATAGTAAGAGCACTGAAAGTGAGGTTTTAGTCTTTGAACAAATCAGCTGATATGGAAATTGAGCACTGATCCGTTTACAGATTCAGTTAATCACGACTTTCAGGTTAAATCGATACTAGAATCGTACTTGGTTGCATCGTTCATTGTGGTAACTGTGCAGCGGCAAATCATCCCTAACATCACAACTTGCATTCGACAATATTCCCCTGGTAGAGGAGTTTCCCTTACTCGATTCATTTGTGAGTTCAAAATGAGCAGTATAAAAGGGTGTTGAAGACACGAAAAGCCCCTTCATGGAGTACAAGGAGTGAAAGGAAGAAATAGAAGCCCATGGAACGAGAGAAACAACCGTGGAGGCTGCATCCAGCCTAGGCAATCCATTTTCTCTTAACTTACAACACAACTCTTCTCTCTCGAAGATCTCAAGCGCTGAATTTAGAAAACGCATGCAGAGCAACCAATAGTAACAATTTCATGATTTCACAGAGTCCAAATGATAGGGTTCGTCGTGGAAAGAGGAGAGCTAAATCGCATACAGGTTTGGCGCTGGACAGATGAAGTTACCTCAATTGATTCGATTCGTCTACTTTGACATCGTTAGAAGGCCATCCTTCTCTCAGCCTGACGCTCACTTGAAAAATTTGCATTCCACCTTCAGACTAAACAGGCAGCAAAAATATTCAGACTCATATGAAATTGGCTACTGACGCAAATGTGCTCCCACATATGAAGACTAGCAACTCCACCTCGAAAGGTGAAGAACTGCATGGACATGTACCGAGATAAGAACTGCAGAAAGGACGCATACGTAAGAAACGATCGTTATATATGAAACACTAACAGACGCTCTTCGCAAATTCCGAGTTCCAAGCTGACAACTGGAAACGATTGCGAAGTTGCTGAAATAAAACGTGGAAGTCAATGTACCATAGAAAACCGCGGCTGAAGGCGTAAGCCTTTGTATGCGATGTGAAAGGTATTAATGCTTCAAATTAATTCTCATTCAGAAAACCAGAACACGACGTTGTAATAGTAAGGAGGAAAGGCAAGTATGAAAAAAATGAATTAACAACAAGCTGGATAGCTACTTGGAGTCTCCTTACTGAGTAATAACATGCAGTTCTGCATCGACTATAACAAGTCGATAGTCATCATATGTCCAATACTTTTCCTTGCATCATCTACTGCTAGCGTATTTACACAGTCTCAAAGACTTCACAATTCAGAAAGGAGGGTGTGTAAACCACGAGCTTCTAATTACACATTCTTAGCTTGGGCGGTTCGAACAGGGCTTTCAGATTTGAGGAATATGATCATTGCCTACAGACAACCGAACAGTAAGTTATGAAAGAAAATCGACAACGTACGATGACAGTTTATGAAGAGGTCGACCCATTCTGCTGTACAGATAGAATCGACCTATCCGTACGACGAAATACCGAATACCCCCGCAACTACTGCGTGGAATCAAATTTGCTGGAGAAGATCATACTCTTCACAAGTCACTGTGCTGAGGTCAAAATGATGAACAACATGAAAAACAAACGTAGAAACACAAGCACATAGATCCTGATGTGCTTATAGTATAAAAAAATCATCAATTCAGAATGTCGTAAGTGAAGATAATTGCTCTGTTATATCGATGACTATCTACACCTTCTTTAAGCTTATGATGCATTTTTGATGTGGCTACATCAAAATTCCTATACATTGTACGACATGGCATAAGAAAAATATTAGTTTTGGATATGACCACACACGCGAGATCAAGACCGCAAGCGCAATGCCAAGCAGAACTAGCGAGAGGACGAATTTTATTTTCAATTTGCAGGGAGCACGCCGTGTACAGAAGTCACTAGAGCGTGAATTGCATTGGAAAACATGAAGGTATGACGACGTATTACTAACTTGCAATCTCCAAATGCCGCCAAATCAGAAGACAGGTGCACGACCCAGCTAAGTGGTCCCAAAGTCTACAAACCAATCCAATAGCATGATCAACCTATCTCAGACTGGCTGGCAAATCACGGTCTCTGAAACCGAATCCATGATAACCGGACTGCGAGTTGCTCAGACCCGAACCCTAGCGGTTGGAACGTAAAACCGTTCCAAGATCCGACTGATGGAACATCACTCTCAGCAGATGCACCGACTTGACATTCCACAGGCACTTTGGTGTCCTGCCTGCTCCGAAGGCAAAAGTATGCCTGAATATTTTCTATCAGATTACAAAGGAAAACTGGTTCCCCATCCAGGCGATTATGCCTTGGATGCGGGCCCAAGATAGTTGGTCACCATTCCCATGACGGCGAATGTCAGTGCCATCACGACTTGCTTCAGATCTGTCTCGACATTCTTCATATTGACAAACGATTGAACACAGAATATGAGTGCCAACCACGATCCCGCTTTATTTCGAAGCATTACACCGACAACCCCAAACATCACTGCCAGAAGACTCGAATAATCAGGCGGTAAATCTACGGGATTCATTACGGGATGCACGTAAGGCTTAGCGGCGGTCGGCTGCCTCGGATCGCCAGGAAACATGGCTACTGCTGCTGCTGCTGCTACTTCCCAGACACCGTCCTGTAATCGATCGCCGACTCTTCTGATCGAATGCCCGCGCTAAGGAATTGCGTCTTCTCTTCCGAAAAGAGTCCGATGAATGCCTGAATTGCGCATGTACAGTTCCGCGGTCGATTCTGTAGTCAAGCATTCAGTAGCCTCTTCGGTATCAAACTCAAGCTTCTCGCTGTACCATTGGATTATACTGTTTACTCTCGATAAATGCGCGGCGGAGTTATTTCTGCCGCTGCATATTATGCCTCTCAACTCATCTCTTACTCCCCAGATCATAACAACTTTCTCTTTCGAAGATCACAGTGTATTTATCGAGTATGATGTGCCCAGTAACATGTAAAAATGCCTAACCCTACTTATCTACGTAAACGCATCTCTTAAATGGATTATTACACCTACTATAATACTATAATTTGCATGACTAAACTGTAATACAATGAAAATTGATAATTTCCAATATTAATATCATACCAATGATAAGTTAGCTCAACATTTGTTGTTATATATATATATCATTGTGAAATAATTTAGTTATTTTTAAAAAAGAGATTTCTAATCAATGCTTACATCATCAATCATATATTTTCTATTGTCCAATTTTGTTTTGATAATGAGCACAAAAGTAACATAATAAAGATTTTACATTGTTAATAAAATATAAAAAAATATCATAATCTTTAATTTTCTTAAATCGTGTGAGAATTCCTTTCATAGCTTGCTAATGCATCTTATTTAAATTTGACATGTACATGTCCAACTTGTTTATAGCTAAAGCAATATCAAATTTTGTGTATATTATTAAGTACATAAAATTGATCATTGCTTTGTCATAAAATATTGTTGATGTTTTTATCTTCTTAATGACATATGATGCCAAAGTAATGTGTAGTTCCAAATTTGGCATGTTAAACATGTGAAACATTCATTAAATATATTTTCCATAACTTTATTATTTTTTTCAAATATTTATGAACAAACATACATAGCAACATCTTGAATTTGTCTAGAATTATTAAATTATTTATTTCATTTATTGTTGTTAAATTCATTTGTTGCCAAAACTAACATGTTATCCATGTAGATTACTTGAATAATGAGATTGAAGATCTCATCATTCAATGTCTTGCACATAGGTTATACAACACTCCTTGAAAATAATTATGCTTTAATAAACTCATCAAACGTTACAATCCATTGCTTATAAGCTTGTTTCAATTTATGATAGATTTCAATAATCTATAAATCCAATTTTTTTATAAAATCAATAGGTTATTTCATGCAGATTTTTTATTCTAAAAAACCATAAAAAATTGTTATTATATTAATTATAATAAAAATTCTGATATATAATCAGATTAAATATTGCAGCCAATACACATATCAATCAAATTATAGCATGTTTTGTTATAGTTGAAACCTTTTTGTTGTGGTTTACATTTTTTTGGGGTGTGAAATCTTTAGATGTGAACTTCACTTTGATTTTTTTTTCTCATCATTTGCTAGATTTTATTTCAACTTTACTTCAAATTCATTTTGTTATCAATCAAAGGTTAGATCTTAAAAAAACTCTATTAGCAATCACGACTTGTTAATCATCATCAATTGCATCTCACATTTCACATTAGTTTTTTATCTAAACTTATTACACTAGAAGTTGAAATCACTTCAACCTTATATCTTTGTGCAACGGCCGAGCTCTTCATACACATTCAATTGTGACTCATAATTGCGTTAATTAAACCAATTGGATAATAATTTAACATATGTGGCAAATTATAAAACTAGAAACTGAACTCAATGAACAAAGATTGAATACAACTTTGAAAATGAGAGATATTTAAGATGAATCTACTCTTCATTAAATGGATATTGACAACAAATACAAAACGATAAAATCTTACTTCCAACATGTCATCAATTCATTCCGAATGATGATAAATCATCATGTTTCCATCCAATCATTAAAAATATATATTAATTAGAGAAAGTCTAAAATTGCATATGTGTTTATACTTGATGGTGGAAGCATTAGTTGAAGATTTTTTTGCAAAAGTGCGTAGGTTAGTCTTCAACAGTGTGTATGTAGTGGCAGCAGAAGCGAAAAATGATGCTATTTGGATAGATAGATTTAATACTAAGATGGGATTGAAATAAGACGTTGTCAATCTTCATTATGATAGTCAAAGTCTTTTACATCTTGATGCTTATTAGGTGATGGACAACAGAAAAAAACACATCGACATCATGTATCATTTTATTGGACATGCAATTTCTAATAAAAGAATTGAATTAGCCAAGATAGATTGTAAATTCAATCGAGCTCATGAATTGATCAAGTTATTTATTTTGAGAGTTTCAAACTACATTGTGCTACTATGCAAGTTTTGCATGAGGAGCACAAGTAGAATTTGCTAGCTTTTGATTTTTCTCTTTATATTATTCTTTGATTTTGTTTTGGTTACAGTTTAGTTATAATTTACTCTAATTCTAAAGAGGGGTTTTCTATTGGATTCTTTCTAGAATTTTCTTCTAAATAATTATATAGGTTACGGTTCTATCAATATGAATTTAGGGGTAGATTGTTAGTATTAACTCAAGCTTCGGGTTAAATTTGAATTAATCTAACTTGAGTTAGTTATAGTATTACTTGCCCAATCAGGGTTAAATCTAAAATCTTTGCTGCAAGATATATATGAAAATGCAAAACTCATCTTGACTTGAACAATTTGAAGGTCTTTGAGTAATCTCGATGTTCATGTTGACGTAGTCTGATTTTGAATAAACCACATATTTGCATGTGAACAATGTGTTTTGATTCTTGTGTTTTGTTCAACAATTATCAATTTGTGTACTTGTTATATAAGAATATAATGTGCTAATTAGTGTGTTAGTTGAGAGCAGCACATCAACCATCCGTGTGCGTATAAGATATATCCGTCATATCATCAAGTATTTGAGAGTGAAGTGGATAGTGAGGAGGAAAGCTTATCTTTGTCTATGTGTTTGAAAAATCTATATAGTAAAGATTAGAATCATTTTAGATATCTCACATCTTCAAAGTTGTGTTTTATCTTAACATAAACTACTCCCTTGATCTCTAAGGTTTTTATATGTGTCGGAAGCTCCAACTTGTATGACACTTCAACGATACAAATCAATATCACAAAAGTATGAATGAATCTAAAATTAAACTTTGGTGTTCTTACAAGAAACAAATTTGTTGTAGATAGCCAAACCTGATTTCCAACCTAAGAAACTAACTTTCGACAATGAGCATGAACATGCTAGTTTTGTCGATTTTGAGCAATCAACTTCTCCTTTGCTTCGTGTAGTCATCTGTGGATATGTTCCACAAACTCGTTGACCGCAACTACTTTGGTTGAAAACTTCTCTTCTTTCAAAAACTTCATCAAACTTGATGGAGTAATGGGATGAACATTGTACATGAGGTAAAATGAAGTTACCTTTGTGGATGCATTTTCATATAGTATTGTATGAAAATTTCACAAGAGACAAAAGTATATCCCACTGTTCTTGGTACTCTAATATAAATGTCCGTAGCATATAGTTTGAGCCAAAAGTAAACTCGTTGGATGCTCTTTAAGATAATCTCCACTAACACATGACATGTAATGACTGTATCATGATTTTTTGATAAAATCATTAAGCATAACTCTTGGTCTTGCGGAATCCATTTATGTTGTTTGTAGAACGCCAAACCTCTAAATTTCTCTGTCATTCCAGCTTGTAGTGCCCTCATGATCTCTTCATACTTCTTTGTGGCATGTGTCATCTTGCTCCACCAATCGGCTTGAATCTTCAATTTTGCAACATGATTCAAACAAGACATGCGTGTGAGCCCATCCGCAAGTTGCTTCTTGGCCTCCACGTACACAATTTTCATCCTGAAGCATTGCCGCCAATCTGTCCATCAAATTTGTACTTTAGATAGATTCTTTTAAATTTCCAAATAAATCAGGGATATATGATCAGTCTCCACCACAAACTCTTTATCATCCAAGTAATGCTTACAATGTTTGATTGCCAATACAATGGCTAACTCCTCCCATTCTTTTGCGTGATAATTTTGTTCCGCCGACACCAACTTTTGAGCATAAAAAGTAACTAGATGCCATCCATCCTCCCATTCTTGTTGAAGTATGCCATGTACTATGATACATGATACGTTAGTAGCCAACTTGTTAAAACGGTTAGGATCAATTCACTTCAAGGAAGCGTGTAACAAAGCATCTTTCAATGCTTGAAAATATAACTCTTGACTTATTCTCCAGTTTCATTTTTGACATTTTTCTAACATGAAAGTCAAGACTTGAGCTTGTCATGTATTCACGTATTTACTATTTTTAGTATGGTCTATGGTTAGGAATCAAAGAGTATATAGTCGGGGGAACTCGAAGAACATTCAGTTTTTCGAGTTGAACCATTTAGCGTTGGGTTTAGTCTTCAGTGTATTGGCTATGGTGGCTTGTAAGTTTCGACCTGGATTCTCTAGTGAATGAATTGGGCTCCACTTTGTGTGATGATTGTAATACAAACTAGTGGAGTTTACACTATTTGAAATCACTCAAAGAATTCATGATGACCAAATCTTCAACTGACATCACGGCCGAACATGTTCATTGAATATGTATCGTCATACAATCTACATTGCTAACATGCTACACACATATATAGGGAAAGAAAGCGTACACACTCAAATGTATCACAACTCGGTCCCCTAGTTGGTAGTTAGATATCTCTGACTCCGAGTCAGCCCTATCTACAACTACATGCTATACACTTTCATGATTGCACGAACTACTAGGTTGGATGCTATGTCGTCCCATTGTTAGTCGCCTATCTATAATTTATAACATGTGAAGATCAAGTCATCTACGCCTCCAAAGTAAATCAAAGACAAGCACATCATCGAGCATAAACAACATCAATAGGTGGAGTAAAGCACAACATGTACCATCTTGTAGAACATCTATCACACACCAGTATACGGGCAGTTTGACCAGCTAACCCACATGACATGCACCTCAAGCCAACACATATTACTGCCAAACTTGGAACCATAAACCATCCACGTTTGGGAGGTGCAAAGTTGCGCATATGATACTTACAAACAACATCGTCACGATACTCCAACATGAAAACTTCAAAAGATAACATCTCACGCACTCGCAAGATAGTGCGTCACGCCGTTACATGTAATGTTGACGATGCAATTTGTTGTAAATAGTTGTAATCCTCCACATGGAACCCACAAATTGATGGTCGATAACCTCCCGGATGGTTGCATACCGCAACTTATCTTTATTCTCAACAATCGCAAGATTATCAAACGATGCAGACATAACTCTCGGAAGGAGCTCTGCACGTTGATTACACTATCATCCACATTTCCGGGTCATCAAGTTTCATCAACTCATTAGACTCAGGACAAATCGATGTTGGAATGTCTGGATCTTGATTGTACAATAGACAATACGGTGAGAGAAGAGCCAAAGATGCTTGACGACTAAACTGATATCCCATGATCAACCATGATAACTAAATATCCCAGTCCCCAAGATGTTTTTTCTGTAGGCCATACTTGCACAATGCTTTTTTCACCACTTTTTCAGTCAAACCGGTCGTTGAGTAGCGAACGAGCAAAGCTTTGAACTTACATCTAGGATTGGAGGTAAGACAAACTTTTTGCAGGCATGCCCATGCTCCCTTTCAAGATCAAAAGTCATGCATCGTATCTCAATACATACATTTCAAGTATATACAAAGTATACATAAATGTAAGTATAATACGTGAATGTACATGTAATAATTAACTTTAACTAAAATGTAATTATTATACAATTAGTTATATGAGTAATTATTTATTAATATTATTATAAAATTTATTATTACCCGTAATATATGTGTAGTAAAATATTTAATCATAATATGATAATAAAGATAAAAATAATTTTACATTAGCCATTCTAAAAATAAATATTTAATATTTCTAAGTTCAAATCTCTTTAATCTCAAAATTATTTTATATCAATTTCAAAACAAAATATTTTCAATGAGATGTTATAGCAAAATGTTCAAATGGTATTACAAGTTGCATGTCATCTTTCAATTAGTCGCATCAACAATAATATGGTTCAAATTTCAGAACGAAATGTTTGCGTATAGATGATTCAAGAAGATACAACTCCTGCAATTCCAATCATTCGACTGCAAACATCTCTTAGTGCAGATGTCAATTTTGTTGAGAAAATTCTTGTTTCAGACATATGCAAGAATCATTCGCATGGTTGTATTTAACCTCGCATGGTGTGATGTCTGTTAATTTAACTCATAGAGATCAATGAAAAGATAGTCATTCAAATAGTGGGAATTTGACACAAGCAAAATACATTTGAGAAGAGTTCATTGAATAGATCTAACTTGGGTCATGCAAATTAAAAATAGATACTATAACAGTGGGTTGAGAGAATTTTATTTAAATCTTCAATTGATTATCAACAATTATTTTTGTGAAAAATAGATTGATAGAATAAACTTAACACAAAATTTTTTTTGTGAAATTTTTTGTTAAAATTGAATCATTTTTATGTAAAATTGAATTGAAACAAATAAAGAATATCTCTTGGGTTTTCTGTAACCAATGAGGTCTAATTTCATTAAATATGTGTACCTAATTTGTTTTGATTAGTCACAAATATGCACAATCTACATTTTATAATAAATTCATCATTTTTATCTAATCAGACTTGATTTCAAATTTTTTACTACTAGTTTAATATTATTTAAGTTTTATTATAATAAATTCATCATTTTTATCTAATCAGACTTGATTTCAAATTTTTTACTACTAGTTTAATATTATTTAAGTTTTATTATAAATAATGATATCATGTATGACACGGGTACCTGCACATGGGGTACAAACTTGAAATAAAATGTTTGCGTCTCCTAAAGATGTAATAAGTCTTCAGATTTCCATGACTTGAAATATACCGTCGCCTTGAGGGTGCGTTCCCATTTTTCTTCAAGGATTTGTTACAGGATTGAAACATGGAAGCATCCCATTCTAACTTTATTTTGCTATGGAGAAATATACAATAGTATTATCAACCTTCATTTGTGATGATTAGAGGGGGATGTCAGATAAAATGGACAAATCCACCAGCTCTCGTGCTGTTTCCAAACGTGACGCATATCTCGAAGCATATTACGCTTCGATATGATTGAAAACGCGGACATGGAGAGGGTAATATCCCGCAATGTGTTCTCTTCTACCACGCGGTAGCGCGAGGTCTTGATGATTGTCAAATCAACTTTCTCTTTTATAAAAACCAAGAGGTAACAAGGAACACATCGGTACTGTGCCTTTCGACCAGTGATATGGACTTCCAGACTATAAGAACGGAATCTAGAGACACAATCCTGAGAGCCAGTCGTCATCTGTCGTATCGTAGTGTGACCTAAACCAAACCCTGGGGACATCGCGATTGCGCACGAAAGGTCCATCCAACGGGGCTTTTACATTTCAATCAGGTCCTGATATGGACACCCTTATCTCATTGAAGGGGGTGGAGGTGGAGGGGCGGATTTCGCAAAGCTCATCCAAGCAACTATTCCGACGCTCAATACGATCCAACCCATGACATCATATTTGAAGTCGTTGTCTTTCTTCTTCTTCTTGGACGCCTGCATGCGACGATATAATACAGATGATGAGCCCAGAACCCAACCAATAAGGAACACTCCTCTCTCTCTCTCGACTTTACAAAAAATTTAGCAATTAGAAATTTATTGAATTTAAAAAGAAAATAATAATGATATTATTATTATAAATAAAAAACACAAATCTTATTTTACTTATAATAAAAAAGCAAAATATTTAGATTTTTTTTTTCTCTCTCTCTGAAGCGACATCCACACGGTCACACACCTTGGAAGGACCTCCGCCTCCACCTTGTGAGGCTTGATATGACGCCATTTGAGTAGCCAGTTGTCGTTGCAATTCCTGGTGCAGGGACGGTGCCTGCAGGAGAGAAATGGACCATGTACGTGATGAGAACCATTAGCTCTCCATGTTCCTCGACCGGGTAGACACCTTCATGCATTTAGACACCTTCATTCAAAGCTAGAAGATATAAATAATCGATAAGCAGTGGATGTAATCGGTAACAAAAGCAGCTGAGCAAGCAAAGCACGGAGAGAAGGAAGAGACTGTAAGAATTGGATTCAGGGTATATACCACTCCCAATCTCCTACAAATTAGTCGGTAGTACACAGAACCTGGACTAAAATAAGCCCAGTTCTGATTCCTTACTCTCCAACTACTCCACAACCTTTAGTATGATCCCAACACCCAACTAAATATATCCACAACTGCTTCACGGAAGTGCTGTCAGTACCTCTGAAACATATAACTCACACAGCAAACCACGCTCTAAAGCCGCGTGCTCACAACTTGTAAAACGTACTTCACTGTATAGATTGACATGTATTGCTGAACTTGTTATTTTGCCTCACATCTCTTTATACTATCTACGACATACACACACGAGCAATCTCGAAGTTTGATACAGAACTACATAAGGTCAAACGATGGACATTTTCAAACTTCGGCATACGATGCTTGCGTGCATCATTTCATATCGCTTTCACTACTCGTCCCCTGAGATATTCCATAATAAGAGGAACGACAATATAACTACAAAAACATACGAAGATGAAAACACCTCACGAAATGAAGACCATATCGATGTCACCAGAAGTCCTGTACGAAAAGGTCATAGTGGCGCAAACAGTCTTCGGAAGTAATATTATCTCCAATCCAGTATGTTGAACCTCTCCATTAGTTCATTAGTACCTAGATACGCAGTTCCCCTAGGTTTGTTTGGACCAGTTGTTCGCAAGGCAGTTTCTTATCGGCCAACAAGTTCTTTCCATGCACCATGGAGATGTCAAGAAAGAAAAATCACCTTGGTCGTCATTTCAATACCCTTATGGTAGAGTTCGTTGTGTGGATCCTGGCATTTAAACAAAAATACGAAGTTAGGTCTGGTCCACAGCTCTGCGTGGTGAAATGATCAACGGCAGATGAGTATCCAGTAGATAAAACGAGTCCAACGATAGTCCACAATTTATTATCCGCTTTTTTTCACTGTCACAAAAATCACTAGCTAAAAAGTTTAACCACCAAAGATGCATTAATCATTTGAACTTCGTCCCACAAATCCACTATAGTGCAATGTAGAGACAAACAACAGGATGCAAAGAAAACTCATGTCCATCCCTGTGGAATAACTAAACGGGGTAAGAAAAAACGCAGAGGATGCTTCGGCCAGTTGGGCAATAAACTTACGACTGAGAAGCACGATAACTGAGTTTTATGCATTAACGTAACACGAGTAGTTAGAGGTCGTCTGAGGGAACTATCGTATCCTAGAGATTCAACCACAAAAGGTAGAAGAGACAGAAGGCCTAATAACGAACAATTTCGAGTAATTACCTCGTCCAAAGCCAACTGAAAACATCGAGCAGCTTGCTGGAAGTATTCATTGGCCTTGTCAGGGTCTGAAAACAAAAACCCTTGGGAAGTGTGTGCATTTCCTAGACACCAAAGAGTATCATGCTTCTTTGGAGCAATCCTTAAGGCTTCTTCGAACTTAGATACAGCTTCTGCAAATCGGAATAGAGAAGACATCTTAGAAGTGAGACTTCAATTTGCCAAAATTAAGCCAGGATCCGATGTGAATTTGTGTAACAACTCCTCACCTTTTCAACAACGCTATAAGGAAAACCTGACCACCGAGGTAGATGATTCACACTGTACGTGAAAGTATCAAAAGTGGAATAGCAACGAAGGATGTGACCTATAAGAGGGCTCTGTAACATCCAACCCGTAACATGTGCATTAATAAATCAGCTCGACAAATGTCCTACAAACCTTGAATCATATCAGCTGATTCCTGACCCTGGCGAAAGTGTGCCAACTCTAGCAGAGCTCCTCCCCATCGAGTCAGATTCTGCCCGAAGTCACAGAGACAACAGAGAGGATTAAAACAAGAGTTTTGACCGCAAAATCTTTGCAGTTGCCGATGAACATGTCTTGCCTACGTTATATTAACCCTAGACGTATAAAAAGATTAAGCACGATCCCGAAGAGTCGCAATAAACATTCGATTATAACGCAACCTCCTCGAATGTGGACAATTGATGGCAGGCAACTCCTACAAAACACTTCAAATCACCTCTTCTTCTAAACCTTCACTGACAAAATCTCGGTATTCTTAAAAATAACTTTCGTGATCAATTAGAGGCGTAAATCGATAGGCCTGACTTTGGCAACCACAGTAGCATCTTGGACAGACAGTAGAGAATCGGCCGTTCAGACAGTCGCCAGAAGCAATGACACCGACATGGGCCACAAATAGACGTCAAGTGATTGCTCACTTGGTGGAAGGCCACAATCCAGTCGGAACCGATCTCAGCGACTTACATCGGGATCATTCGGTGATCGAAGGTACTCGCTTGCAGCTTTCTCCCGAGTTTGCTCAAAAAGCATCAACCTCTGTAAATCCTCTCGTGGGATGGAATCCATGGTGTCCCGCCTTCAAAATCACAGTTTTACAAGCGAAGAGCGTCTAGACTGTCGGAATCAGCAAGGAGGTGCAGGTGCAGGTGCAGTCGACGAGCAACAGGTCGGTCAGTCCGGGCGCGAGGAACCCGATACACAAATCTCAGACAGGGAAATGCAACGCCACGCCTGAACCAAAACCGAAACCCTCCTTTCAGAATTCTTCGGGACAACGAACCCTTCCTTCAGATTCCGTTCTCCCCTTCGTTACTCTGCGCCTCGAGGGCTCTCTTCTTGCGTGTCTGCGTTTCTGCCTGACGGACGGGCGGACAGCCGGCCGGCCGGATGTCTAATAAATGGGGATCGACCGAGTGAATTGCCACGGTCACCTCTGCTGTCTGTAGTTCTCCATGTCGCAGTCGTACCCTAGAGTTGGCCTGGTGCGTTTCTCAGAGCTTCCATGCCACGTGTCCTTTGTGTGATGATGGCCTTTGCTGGCGAAGGAGTCTGAGCCCATGTCAGCATAATTTACAAGCTGGATCAATAAGTGGATTGCCACCGAAAATTGTCTTCTGTCCACTTGGTTCTTATCGTTTCACGTCACCTTCTTCTATTTCACGTCACGACGGTTGGTCCCAATGCATTTCGTAGCGTTTCCTTCATCATAGTTCTTTCATCTTCATGTATACAAACAACAGTTTGCATTTGGTAACTTATTAGTGAAACATATCTGTAATTGATAACTCATAAAAATAACAGTTTATGTAATTCTTATTGTACTACATAATGAAGTTATACGATTGAATTCTTACAGAGTAAATGCATGAATCTACAGCTGCATGATCTAGGTTTAGTAGTTTCCACCGAATCACAATTAATATATATTTATGTACATATCGTATGCCTTTCAGAGGATGTCAAATGCTCAACAAATTTCCCTGACTTCGGGATAAAGAAAAGTGAGAAACAACAGGTGCGGAGCATGTACAAAAGACTTATTAGGAAGATGCGCACCTCCATCTCAGATTGTGTTAGACGTGTAGATCATCACGGACACGACACACATCTGCAACACTTGAGTCTGGAATGAGGACGATTTATTGTTGAAAGAGCTTTTCAAATGCATAGTGAGCGAGGCTACGATCTTTTTCTGCCGGACCGAGGTATTTTTGACTGAAGTGAATCAAACCGTCTAAGTATTTTCTAAAGTAGAGTAACTTGGCAGCTTGGACTATCAACTGAGATTAGTAAATGGTTATTTAGGCCAATACATATTCACGGGCAGACAACACCGTCATGTAGAAACAATTGATAGCTGAGGAGCCGATTATCTCTTCACGAAGGTTCCAGAAAGACCAATGTCGTAAGTCATGCTTTCGGAGTCCTTGAAGTTTGCACATCGTTATGTCCTGGTGTTCCAATGGTGTAGTTCGAGGAGTAGGTTTGCCGGAGTCTGAATCTGAAGTAGGTGTCGTCAGCTCCTGGACTTTCACTTCGGTAAGATAGCTATCGACGTTGTTGCAGCCGCCAGAAAAGGCTTGGTGAGCGGGACTACAGCTATGTTGCTACCAATACTTGGTGTCCAAATTAAGGTATCCATCGGGTGCAAATGAAAAGAGGAGGACCTCGTTGCATTTCCTCTGGGCCAGCACACTCAGGTCTCCATGGCCAAAGGAGTGCATTGAATTTGATTGATGCTTATTACTGCTATCATATCTTACAATGATGAGAATGCACGTTCGTAGTAATCCCAAAGAAAATCAGCAACTTGTTTCACCGAACTTCACTTCAATCACCACCTCTTCGATTTTCAGAGACTATTCCAGTCAGTTCATCATAACTTCTTCACCAAATCAGGATAAACAAACAGCCTTCCAATTTCTGGTTTTCAGAATAGCACTGATAACACATCACTCATCCGCCGTAGCGCTCTCGTAGAGCAAGAGGAGGCTCCTCCTGCATGATTCTTTCATTGGACGCCAGATGTTGTCGTATAGTTGTAGTGCGGTCACCGAGATAAGTGTGGTCTAAAAAACTTTCATATGCGGCTTGACTCAAGTTTTTAGCTGCAAGTACACTGCAACCAGAACATTCGGAAAAAACGGGTTTTATGTTTTCAGAATGCGACTGGAGTTTGCACTGTAACAAAGTTTCGAGAAAGCACAGAAATGAGACCTGTAGACGTGCAGTGAGATCCGTTTGACTTCAACTTGATAGTAGGATCGAAGCTGTATCTTTGAAACATATTTTGCTGACATTCAGAAAAGTATGTGAACATACTACATCCTGGGAAAGGCAGGACATCCACATACCAGTGTCTCAAATAAGCCCTGCAAGGCAAGATATCATCGCGCCAGATTTGCTCGATGGACCATTTTCCATATCGCCTGTTATACTCCTTTTCATCTGATCAGGCCTACCTTAGTGAGTACGCAAGTATATCCTTCACATGCGGTGAGTAGCTAACAAGAACTGTATTGCAGGCTGTGCAGATATAGGCTTCTAGTAGCCCTGCCAAACAGGGGCTGAATATAGACCTACAGTTGTCAGTTGATAGATAGGAGACCTGAGAGATCAAATTTTGGATTAATCAATGATAAAGACACTCAAATGATTGAACGATTGAGTTAAGAGTTCACACCTTGACATCGATCACGACGGTACTCCTCATCGCTAAACCTGGCACATATCACCTTTTTCACGGGAAAACGATCACATCATATTGACAGGTACAGTGATTGTTGTTGTACAGGAAACCTTGAGATGGAGGGGCAAAACAACCAAGTTATTAACTTACCGCCTTCGGAGCAGAAACATCTCCTTCGAGAGTGTGAACTGTAACCTGTGAAAAGGTAACGTTCCATCTTGTCAGAACATGTACGCAGCAGACAGTGTTCGGCTATATCACTAAAGAGAAGGATTCTCCAAAAGCTCAAGTTGGCGAAATATTTCAGTGTCATGCTATTAAGCCATCTCTTTACCTTCTAAGAAATACAAACTCACGTCCTTCTATCCAATGCATTCTGGAGGATGAGAATACCACAGCTTTCCTTTCTTTTTACAGTACAGGGAATTCTTCACAAAAAGGTTCCTAGGAAAATATATACAAATAGTCGACAGTCAAGATACCTAGGTTCTATGTTCGAAAGGAAGGTGGAAATGCAAAAAGAAGGAGAATAAATGGATGAATGGGATAAAATACACCGGGAGCCACAAGTGTCAAGAATTTAATGCAAAGTTGACAAGGAAATCCAATGAGGGAAGGAGAGAGGTCATCATATACTGGATCTGCACTCCACTGGGACGCAAGAACACTCTGTTCATAAGAGGACAATCAGAACAACGGAAGCCATGCATTTCTTCATTTCTTGCGGTCTCAAGCTGTGAAACAACTCACCGCAAGAAAACGAAATTCGTGTTCTCTCTCAATGAAAAGGGGAACCTACAACCACCACCGCAACAAGACTGACTGCGTCAAAAGACATGAGCGCAAAGGGGCCAAGCTCAGGAATAAACAATATGGAAAATTGAAGGGAAATACAAAGCAGTGAACCATCACATTGTACACCATAGACGCCACCGCCGTGGAGTTTTCAATTGTCATTTTTCTCTCTATAAAAATCATTCCAAGACTTTCCCTTCGTGATCTCAGATGTACCTCATGTTCAGCAATTTCGAACACTGTGACTACGATGGATTCACCTGGAAAAGGCTCAACGCTGAGACTCGACATTTCCTGAAGATGAACTCGTGTATGAAAACAGGGATGAGTAAGAACACAAGAAGGGCAAAATCTGGAGAAATGGGGCAATCGAAGTTGATGCATCATGAGCAAACCAAAATTACTATGGGGTTATTTTCCATCTGCATTACTTTGTCTACTCCACAGAAGCAAGAGACCATGTAGAACGGGAGAGCGGATAGGAAGACGATGTAACGCAAGAAACAAACCTTCGTCTCGACATCGGCAATGCCCCTCTCTAGAAAAACTGGGGCCACATGTGCGAAAACTCGTCTAAATCCGTGCAAGACAGCTACCCTGAAATTCATTAGCTCGGGAAAGGTGTATCGCGCACTCCTCTCTGATGCAAGCGTATAGTATCAAAAAATAATTATCATACTCTTCACCAAATACAACTTCCACACATACATTTGTAGTAGAATGGTTTGGAGGTGTACTATAGAGATATATTGAAAACAGGCATTTTGGACTGGAGATCCAAAATTGCATATATCCCGTCGAATAGGATACTATTCGACGGGATCAGCTTCTATGCGCGTACTTCGTAAGTTTGTCTAGACCTCGGAAATGATTTACGATTCTGTCTCCGATAGCAAATGATTAGAAAATACAGAAGAAATTTCTTGCCACATTGTACATTGTACAAATTCAGTTGGATAGGACTCGCCTGATAGTAAAGAGCCAAATCCGCATATAGAGATAAGACCATTTTCTGCTATGCTTTGAAAAGCTGCAGCATCCTTCAACTCGACTCCATGTGGATTTTTATCCCGAGCAGAGTCCATCGATGATTCAGCGTCTCCTGAAGTGGGAAGATAAGGTGAACGAGTTGCAAAACTGGCGGCCTAACTTATAAACAGCTGTAGCATCTACTGGCACAGCTGATTCCTATGCACATCCATGCTTGAGGAACGACCAATATGCTAGATCACAAAACTAGTGAGCATAGAAAAGGACTAGTGCCGCAGATACACAGATCCATTTCTCCAGTCTCACACCGTAATGGACGATTGATCCTAGCGCAGCACTGACCGCAACTTTGGTGCAGATGCGGTGACTCACTTGGACCACAAGTCACTGCTTCAATTCTCCTCGACTCTATTTTTCTCGGGCCGTCGAAGCCCAAAGAAGCTCTTCCCTGGCCGCAGATTATCGTTCGCGGGGCTTTTAATTCGAAGCGTGAAGCTGCAGAAAACAATGTCGCAAAAGAGCATCCGTAAGAGCTAGAAGGCGCGCAGCCCACTCGAATTCCATGAAAATTGTGTTTTGGAGCTGTAGCCATCACGCCATCCACTTATTGAAGCCGAATTCCAATACCATTCATGGCAAGATTCGGTCCAGCTATCACTTTTCCCTGAGAGGCGTTCCTCTCCTTATAAAACAAAAGTTGATAGACGTCACCCCTGTCTTAAATTTCAATGCGCTCTTCTGATGGGCGTCGGCAAGAGCAAAATTTCCAAGATTCGGATTCACCTTCGGTAAATTGAAGAGCACATGTGAGGTGATTCAGAAGATGGCTTATTCTTCGGACCGTAACTCATCTCCACGGTGCACGCATGATATGATGCTACCGATTTCCGAGGACGATGCAGGTGGGAAGCCGAACGAGGCCTTCAACTTGAAATCTCTCCTAGCAGTTCCTCGAATTTACTAGAATTTCTCGTATACTATGTACGAGAAACCTTGAAATCCACCACAAGTTATCACAACTGTTGGTTTCCTCGTGAGAGTGTTGGTCAGTCCCTGTCCCACTTTCTGTCTCTCGAGGGAAAATGTGCAATCTGAATTTGTTCGAAAGGTTTACTCGTCACGTTACCTTTGACATTGCATGCCGGTGTCGTCTTTGTCCTAGTGAAAAGATAGTTTCTTTTTTAGATTTCCAATTCCACTCGTTTATTAGATATCAAAACTTCCTGCTCTTCAATCAAGTCTTCAAAATAGTGAAGAAAACAAATTTCCCAATCATCAGTTCTCATGATTAATATTATATAGAATCTCTCATTTTTCTAAAAATAAAATTAGGTTTTTGATTTATTGCTACATCCAAATACCCATAACTGCATTTTTAAACATCGCATTCATCCAGAATTTAAATGCAACTTGAAATTAAAATTCTGCAAAACTCATATCACACGAGTAGAATGTAGAGTCATCCGTCCGCAGTCACAGTCGTGGTTGGCTCGGCAGGAGAACGCGAGAAACTCTTCTCGTTGAGCATCGCTGTGGTACGGACTGACTAACTCTACGTGGTTCAGAGGACGGTTGGATCGCCACCTGCCTCGCACCAACTCCAGCATGTGATCGACGGACGTACTATGACTTGCAACCTGGTTCATCGAAACTAAGACTTGTTGCGCTGCGCGAGGAATGGATTGGAACACATCTAAAACTAAATTGTTTGATGGTATCTATCAAGTTTCTTTCTACTTAATGTAACTTCATCGATGTTAGATGTCAAGCCAGTTCTAATACGTTGCAGACAGTGAAATTTTGTCATAACGATCGCGACTTTTGATGTTGGACGTCTAGTGGAACTTTGTAGCAGCGATCGCGTATCTATCTTTAAGCTTATTAATACTATAACAATATGCCTTGACATTGGACATAGAGAGTTTTGACTTTGGATTTAGTGCTCAAAATGTGGCCAACAATTCTATCCATGCTTTAGCTCAAGATTACTTCATTAATTATTGATCAAAATTGATCAATAGTTCAAGATTACTTCACTAATACTTCATACTTGAATGTTTTAATGACGGATTCAACTTTTAAGAATGTTAGCCTAACATTGTTATAACTCACAATCACATCAGCTGGAAATAGTAGTTAGGACATTTCGTCAAATCTTTTGGAGAAATCAGTTGCAAACTAACTAGAATGGCAAGGAGAATGTGTTAAGTACAGGCTAGAATAAATCTGCATTAGAATGAGAAAACTATTTTTTTAAACATTCAGCTAAGAGAGTTAAGCCATTTATATATTATTTGTGTAATGTGTTTGTATGATTTGAAGTAATCTAAGTTCTTGATATCTTTGTTACATAATTGATTATGATAAAGAATTTTATAAACAAGTACATTCGTTTGATGTCAGTCTTGTATTAAGGTTGCATGAAAAATGTATAAGGTTTTATGAAAATACAACGTGATAATGAGAGGAAATTAGCTTTGTTCAACCATACTAGCAGAGAAGATTATTATCAAGGAGCAAACATTGTTTTAATTACTTGATTTGATCTATGGTTATGGACAAACTAGAGTGACAAGAATTGACTTTCCCTGTTGTTTGATGTTGATCGATGAATGATTAAATTATAGTTTGTTGTCTGGATCAAGCAATGCAACATTCGCTTGAACAATTCTACATAGTCTCAATATAGACTTCACAATATTGATGAGAGCGGTTGTCACGGACATGCCATACCAGACTCTACTTACTCCCCACGAATTATCCGTGATATCCAAAATATCAATGGTTAAGTCTACAGTTAACCTTTTCTTCTAGGAGGTTCATGAATCTTCCACTAGTTCCTAGATATTTCCTCTTGTTTTAGTAAGCTTCGCAAGCAACTACTCATTGCCTTGAAGTCAAAGCAAATCTAGTATAAATGAAGAGGTAAGGTTCCTCACTCTCTTCAACACCAGTTGTGGATACGCCTTTCGTTATCAATCTATGTCCCAATTGTCTCATCTTTGAGTCGTAGTTGAGTCGCTATGAGGAATCTCCTCACCTCTAGTCTGTTCTCGTTCTTGTTGAAGGTCTCCCTTCAATTTCGATTCTGGTTCTGTCAAGGAGTTGCCGTCCGCAATAGCGGTGTAGAGAACATTCATAGAAACTTTAGTCGGTGTTGTCAAAGATGCTTTCGTAAGAAAAATTTGTACACCAAAGACAATCAAATTTGATCAATTTGAAAATTTGAACCGTCATGTAACATGGATTTACCGCCCATTTAATCATGAAAATTGTTAGGAGAATACACTTCCCATGTGAATCCAATCCTTGAAAACTAAATGCACGTAGAACACAAGGATTGAAATAGTTCTTTTGCCAATTAGTAAATATCATACAAGTGAGAAATACAAGTTTCAAAGCATTTTGGGTTTGTCCAAGCCTAAGAGTCTAAGCAGTATTAGTGTGATTTAACCTGTCGATTGCTATCTGGAGATACTATTTAGAATTATCACATCAATCAACTATAAAATACTTTGAATTATACCATTGTAAAGTCATAACATCAATAAATCTCAGACGAATTCTGAGTTTCATGTTCGGCTTCTTGTGTAAGCTTCCTATGAAATCAATGAATCAATGAATCAATGATCAAGATTTAACCTCCTTTGTCACTCTCAAACTTTAACACGTAGGTTTGTAGGATTTATAGCAACTAATTGCATGGCTCTATCCTTTTGAAGGTTTGCATTTTAGTTCTTATATCAATCATGAGAATGATTGTTTCAAGGTAATTTGTCATGAGATTTATATAAAGTAGAAATACACATGAGACTAGAGTTATTGACAATAAAGTTTTTGGCCTCATTTGAAACTTGTGTTGTGCAAAAATTTCAAGTTGAAGAGTATGGACGAGTATGTGGACTCTTCACAAGCATATTATCACAATGAACCTGCAATTATTGAGATTTTCAATGCACAACGCATACCTCTTCCACCTTCAACAATTTTTCTACATCAGTATTCTCAATGAAAGATCATTGGAAGATGATTGAAGATCAAATAAGTAAAATTGTTGATTTGGGTGGAAAAAATCCAAAAAAAGTCCAATCGTAGATCTGAGACAAAATATTTTAGCTCTTGAAGGTAAGAGTTCAATCACAACCAAGATTCTTTCACAACTATTGTTGCTATGCTTGTTAGTGTGCAAGTTACGAAGACCTGCAACCTCCGGGCTGACTCTCACTCAGGTTTACCTCTGATGGCTTTGCGGTAGCGCATCATGGTACTAGAAGACTAGGATTTATCCTCACAGTAATGTCCCAAACACCTTCTCTCACAAACTCTCCATGTATCACTCCAACTCACACACAAACTCTCCTCACATCACTCTCTTCACATAAACGCAAACACACGCGATACTCCAAGATACTCAAAAACTTCACTCCTTCATTCCTGAAACAAGTCCTCACACATGACTCTCCAAACTTGCTTGAGAGGTGCTACTCTACCTCTCTATTTATACTACTTGAGAAGTTACCATAGTAACATGTGGTAATTTCTCCTAACTTACTTTTACCTAGGTAAGTTTGACTAACACTCTCTATGTGGCAACATGCCCTTGGTCTAGCTAAACCTTCTAGAAGTTTTCGGAATCCAAGCTTGATGTGGCGACATGTCATTTGAAACTTTTAAACGTTTACAAGCTTCTTAGCCACTAAGTCAACACTAGACTTAGTTTAACCAATCATCTTTCATACATTTAGTTAAACCAATCAAATCCAAGCTTCTAGTCAAATATCTAATCAATTAGAATCTAGAACTTTTGTATAAGACAAAATAGAAGTGCTCACTCCATTCTTCTAGAACTCCGCTAATTATTCCGCCAACTATAGACATTGTAGCTAAACTTAGTCATGACTAGATAAACTTAGTTATAACTAACTAGTTTAGTCATAACTAGCTAGTATTAGCTATGCCTTGGCTAATCATCCTTAATCACTTGATCACTTCTAAGACTTAGTACATATGTGCAACACCCGGTCTTATAGACCCTTCACTGGAGAACCGATACGTGTCACTATTGGGAGGTGAAACTCTGTATGGAGAAGTAAGTTTAAAAGAATTCATATGTATAGACTTGTTTAATCAATGAAAGAGTAATGTTTTGAGCATCTTGAAGTGTCTGTGTGTGTGAACTTGAATGATGATTGGAGAGAATGTGTGAAAAGATGTTCGGAAAATGATCATGAAGAGGAAATATAGTATTTTAGAACCATGATTAGCTACCGCAAAGCCATCTAAGGTAAAACTGAGTTAGTGTCAGTCCCGAGGTTGTATGACAATCTCAAATAGTTTCTAAAATATTTAGTTTAATAATTTCTTTCATCGTACAGATCTAGTCCGTATAGAATATTCCATCTTAGAGAATATTTTGTCCCATAAAATCTTGATTAGAATATATGAAAATTGAGTATTATCAAAAAGTTTGACACGACTAATGCATCTAGTCATTTTTTTGAAAACTCACAGATAATCGACAAGGAGACAATCGTCGTGAAAAATATTGCTACAACAAGCAGATCTACTTCTGATACAACATTGGGTGTGATATATGGTTAGTTACATCCGAGCGATAGCGACGGTTGACGGAATGTTGAATACAAGACAATGAACTATAGGTCCAAGTGAACGATCCATGCGAGGAATAGATCTTGATCTAGTGTAGATCCCTTGAGAGTAGAAAATGACTTATTGAAGATGTGGCAAAAGTGGCCACATTTAGAAAAATTGTCATGTAAAGCTCAAAAGCGCGGTTTCCACACTATAGAAAAACAGTTGCAAACTCTGATTAACAAAATATTGGATTCTAGAATATAGTTATATGATCCTTGAAAGAAAGAGATTGCAATATGGAGGTGAGAGGAATAGATATCAATCTAGGGCTAAGTCCTCTAAGAAAAAGACGATGGCTTGTTGGAATTGTTGCAAGAGTGTTCACATCAAGAAAGATGATTGTATTAATGTCAAAGACGCTTTTACTACTCTGTTAGTTAATGATGAAAAGAATCTTAATCTCGAGGAGTATGATCTTCTAGATGAAAACCT